TCTTTTGGTCACAGTAACGCAGTAATCGGCAATACAATTAGTCTTCCACTGTAGAATAGAAAAAGATAAAGAGTTATTTCTTTATCTTTTTCTATTTCTTTTATAAAATGCATAGAAGGAGGAGTTTTGTTAACGCTAATGTCGGAATGGATGAATTTCACCACTGTTAGGCATAGCCATCTGATTGAACCTTTCCCTTATATTCTCATTTCACAAATAACACACTAAAAAAAAGTAGATAAAAAGCGTAACTAACCAATTCAAAGCTACCTTAATGAATCAGAAGAATAATAAATGCAAATTTACTAATATAATTCCATCTTAGAGCAGAAAAAGCGATTGTGTCTGAGGGATGTATTCTTAACATCTTCCATTGCACACTATCGCAATGGTGCATTGGGGTCCTCTTTTCAGCACATACACATCATACCCCTACATGTCACTTCCCAACAACGGCTATCATATGTAGTGATGGCAATGATGAGGAATTAGCTTAAAGCTCACCAACCACACAGGAAGCCTAATAGTCTCCTAGCCAACTAACCATCCTAAGCATCTCTCCACCTCATTAAGGGATAATCCTACAAACCCTCCACAATTCTCTTGTATGCCCAGAGCTATAGGGTTTTAAGGCTTCATACCGAGCTGGATAACTCTACAAACCCTCCACAATTCTGCCTTATGCCCAAGGCTAGAGGGTTTAGACTCCATCTTGAGCCTAGACCGTAACCCCCGGGTGAGTCATGGGCATTACGAAGCATACCTCTTTGGTCCCCTTGGACCACACTCCCAGTGAAATACAATATCACAATAGTTATAGTTTTACATACTTCAATGAGGCCTTTAAATTGCCACAAAACCCGTAGTAGTGTGTTGAGTCTAATAGTATTGAGGTGATTTATGCAGCATGCATAACGCTGTTGCTATCAAATAACCCAATTGGGTATGCTGATTATCTTTCTCATCCATGTAGGTTGTTGGGACTTGTGTCTTTTGCTAAACCGTTGGCTTATGCTAAACCATTGCAAATATAACTTTCTATTAGTTTATTCAGTTTCTAAAATTACAGAGATAAGCTACTCAACTTCCTTATGCTAAATGCACTATTTTTCTTTCGTTTTCATGTTGCTTTATAATAGTGTGGCTTCATTTGGTTTTCATAGAGCCTAGGCCTTATAAAAATAATAAAATATTAAAAATTCCTATAGTTCAAAAAAATCTCAAATCTATGCAAAAAAAAAAAATAGTCAAGGCCAAACAGTTTCTAGACTTCTCAAATGGCACTCGATAAATAATTACTTGATTGTTTTTTCTTTCAAATATCAACAAACCATAATTGATTATCACTAGACCCCATAACCGGCCAAAATGGGGCTCGCCTAGCCGGATCCGGGTCAGCCTGGCTGGTTTTGCAAATATCGATCAAAGCAAAAAGCAACACGAAAACAAACCAAAGAAATAAGAAACTGATATTCAGATTACAAAAGAACAACGTGCAATAATGCAACGGAGTAAATGAAAATAAAGCAAAGAAAAACGAAAAGTGTGTCAAAGAAACTAACATTCATCCAATAAACCACAAAAAAAAACAACTGGGATTTAAAAATGAGAATGCCACCTTAACCCATACAAAGGTGGACTAATCTTGTATGCAGTAAATCATTTGTGCAGTAACTCAAAATAGAAGCAAGAATTTTGACAAAGTCTAATAGAAGCTTACTCTTCCTCTCTAAAATTCACCTTCTATAGCTTATTTGAACTAGAAGGAGCGTGCAATGCACATTATTCTTATTTGAACTAGTGGGAACGCACATTGCCTATCATTAATGAGGTTTTCAAATCGAACATGATAATAATAATTAATATTGTATAAAGTAAAAAAAAAAATTTTACTTAGAATAAATCTACCTCTTTAGTCTCTTCCAATCCCCTAACAGATTTTGTCATCTAATGTAATAACCAAGTTTTCTAATTCACTAAACAAACTTATGTTCAACTTTTAATTTTTGAATGTTAGCATAATAAATTAATTGGAAGTTACATCGAGAAATGATTAAAAGGCTTACAACAAAAAAAAAAAACATAAAAACTTATCACAACAAAAATATGTGATTCCAAAGCCTATCATATTAAAAGCATGTCATTCCAAACCAAAAGTCAAATGTACACATAAGGTTTGGTAAGTTCATATGTCCTATATACTTCAATTTAAACTATATATAAGTGGGATTACTATTTGCATCACATTTTACTAAAGAAAACAAACTTAGATGCAGAAAATAAAAACCTAGATGCAGAAAATAAAAACGATGGGCAAAATTAACAATCCTCACCATTTTAACAATCCTCACCATTATTTTTGGGGTGTACGATCCACCCCACTGAGTCAACTTTTGAAACATTGGCTACCGCCATTCGTGCCATCATAAAATTCATGATTTATTATCACCATATCGTTCACTTCCCTCCAAATTTAATTTTTTCTCTGAATTCTAATACCCTGGATCATATTATCCCAGTACATTGTAGGGCGCACAAAACCATAGTCAACCCCAAACGATAGTCCAACTTTGAATATTCCAAGAATATGCCAAAGATCTAGAATATTGCATTTTAGGAAGCCAAATATCCTTAGAAATCCCAAATCCTTAGCTTAGGAAACTATATCACCCAAAATAGGGTTCTTGTGTAAATTAGAAAGTGAATATTACAAGATTTGTCACACCAAGATTTTTTTTATCAAAATTGGCAAGAAAAAAACATTAGATATCAAATCCCAAAAAATCCAAATATTTAAGATAAATATCAACTAATTTAAGAGAAGATAGGGCTGCAGTTTGGAAACTCAATGATCATTGAGTTGCTATAAACCAAGTCAATAAACCAAATATTAACATAAATATCAACTAATTTTTTATGCTATTGTTCCATATTTGGGTTGCCCTAAATATCAACTAATTTAAGAGAAGATATTTCTCTCTTTGTAATTCTTTTTCATTTAATTACCATGTTCAAATTTTTTATGAAATTTTTATGAGTTTTTTTTTTTTTTTTTCCACATTCCTTTTTGGTTATTTTATGAAAACTAACAAATACTTAAAAATACTAAATCAGTTTCTAATATTTAAATTCTGAAATTTTGATTTTAAAATTTTTAATCGTTGAATTAATTTAAAATTATTTTCTTTTTATTAACTCTTAAACAAATATTTTAAAAATTATGTTATACAAAAAAAATATAGGAAATATATTAAAAAAAAGGATATCAAGTTTATTCTTTCTTTCAATTTTTTTGATAATTGAAAATTTTAAATGCTTACTTTTATGCTTAAAAAATAGTTTATGGCTAAGTTTCTTATTTTTTATGTTTTTTATTTCTGTTCTACGTTTACTTTCCCATATTTTAAAACTTTTCTTTAAAACCATAAGTTTTTTTTTTTAAAAAAAAAAAAATTAGTTTGAAAATCTTTCATATTTGTCATTTATAAAATTTAAATGGTTTCAATTTTTCATGGCACATTAACATATTTCTTAAGGATTTTCGCCATATAAAATAGCATATTGTTGGAGAAGTTCTTTTTCCCTGTAAGAGTAGTTTCTCAGCTATTTTTATCACATTGTCCTAAATTTATAAAATTTTCATACAACCCATATAAGCCACATTTTCCTTTTAATAAACAAAACAAATATCATTATCATATTAAAGTATTTTTTAACACAAAAAAAATAATTTGGCTGGTTTTAAAAAGTTTATAACAAATAATAATTAAGAAAAATAATTTTTGTACTTTTTACTATTTAACATCGAACTATTGCCTAATAGATCTTCAACATTAACTATTGCCTAATAGATTTCTTTGGCCATTAAATACTCGGTCACTCTTGTACCGGTCGTTTTTACGTGCATATGTTGAAGTCCTACTTTTGAGAGTGCATATTATATTTTAAATTTCTTTTCTTTTATAGACAAATGAATAAGCTCAAATATGGGGAATTGATTCTTCTCACAATCTCATATTTATTAATAAAAAGAAAAGGGCAAAAGAATACCCCCAAAATTTTGAAAGTTGAAGTACTTTGGAAAATTGTTTCTTCACGCGGACCACATTTCCACATATGCGACCGCATTTCCACATATGCGGTCCAGTTAAGCATCCATCTTAAAGATGGATGCAAGTAGGAGTTCCATCTAAAAAACAATGCTAACTATATGTTCAAATGTTTTCTTACAAGAATTACTATTTCTAGTTTTTAAAATTTAATTATTTTTTGATATTCATAATCTCCATGTTAGAGATCACATATCCTTAAAAATTAAGTCTTAAAATCCATCTCAAAAATAGATTTATTAATAGGCTCGCATTTCTACATATGCGGGCTTGGCTGCATAGAGGTAGGTTATTATGTATGCAAGATATTTGAGCTTAATCGGATATACAAAAACAAGAATAACATTAAAATATAATTTTTATAATCAACAAGGCCTTTGATATTTGGAAAAAGTTTATATAAGGTTGCAACCTTAAAATGTAGAATTAAAGATGCACCTCAAAAATCCATGAGAAAAAGTTGTTCTAATGTTGGAAAACCCTTTATTTAATCATCTTGACTTTGAGATGTATGAATATGAAAGAAAAAGCGATTTTAAGTCCCAAAAATAATACATCGTGCAATATATTATCTAGACCATCTATTTTCAATATTTTCAAATGTATATAAATCTACTCGATTTTAACTATTTTTAGAATTGAAAATTTTACAATCAAATATGAAAATAGATTTTCAAATAATCCTAATAATATTTTACACCAAAATTATATGTTCTGATAAAATTTGGAAGTGCACCTTCATTGGATTGTTTAAGGTTGCAGCCTTATAGAAACCAGACCCTTGATATTTTATACAAGTAGGTTATTATGTATGCGAGAAATTTGAGCTTAATCGGATATACAAAAGCAAGAATGAAATTAAGATACAATTTTTATAGTCAACAAAGGCCATTTTCCTAAGAGAATCCATGGAAATAAGGAAAAACTCTTTTTTCTGGCCGCACAGAACAAAGGCCGCATGATTTGACAAACTTCCCCATGACATGATAATGTTCCTCCATATAGAGATAGACCATCTGTATAATGCAACAAATACCATAGAACGTTTTCTTCTCCCTCTCAAATAAGACATGCTTCCCCAAACTCACAAAAATCGCTTAATACAGCTTTAAATTAAACGCCTAGGGCAATGAAAAGAAAGAAGCCACCCTCCTAAAAAAGGGGCAGTATAATCTTCCACTCCCAACTATCCATGCATCTCTCAATTTCCATATGATTGGCATGGAAAAAATAAATGCATGATAATTTACAATAAGAAGCAAAAAATTACTTGGGCTTCTCAATGGCTTCAAACCCTTCTGACCCATTTGCCTTGTTAAGATAAAGCCTGGTTGCACATAACCATTTCCTTGGTGTCTCAATATCATCTCCAACTAGTGTTGGTACGTGCCAACTGCCCCTCTCTGATTCCTACAAAGCCCCAAAATATACTCCCACTAAGTATCAATGAAAAATCAGAAAAGAAGGTGTATAATCATTACTGGAGTCTTGATGAAGTACCTGTATCACAATTGAATAAGGTGGTGGCATGTGAAACACTGGACCGTTCTTAGATACGGTTAGACGTACCTGCCAAAATCATTCATAACAAGCCCCTTAAACATAAGTTTGAATAAGTGCTCAATCGATACTTCATCAAATCATGCAGCTCGTGTCTTACGACAACTGAAATGAAGGTTTATGGAAAAATAGGGAGACAGGGTAACCTGATGTCTCTCCTTCCATCTTGGGAAAAAGCTAGTACCCAGTAGTTCAAACAAGTGATCTCTCATCTCGTCATTTGTAACCAATAAACATTTGAACCTGACAGCTGCATATAACCAATACCTGAACAATATGAAATTTTAGTTAAAGAAGGTGCAGATAGTCCAGTTAAAAATGATATCCACTGTTTTGAGATAACATGGAAAGATAGTAATGGGCTTTAAATAGAAGAAAACGAATTATTTACAGTCCATATGCTTCTAGAGAGTCTGTAATCAAATTTTTCTTTAATGTTGTTGGTAATTATGTTGCATTTACAAGGATTGGGGCCTTGGCTCAATCTGCATCAGAAGCCATAACATGCCGTCCAAGGTACAAGTCCCTGCCGAAGAATGCAAGAAAGTCTGGTGCAGCACAACGCTTTCTGCATCAGGAGCAATGTCACGACGTCCAAGGCACAAATCCCAGCTGATGTATGCAAGTATGGTGCAGCACAAGGGCTTCCAGTAGGTCTCCAATCCCAATACTATTACATGCTTTAACATCAATGTTCTTGAGGGAGGGACTTTCTAGTGGTGCGTTCTATTTTCTAACTTAACGCTCCCCAGAAGGTCATGCAAGGAATCTCATACTTTCCTCGAGATTGGTTAAAGAGCTACGTTAAACAAGTCAGTTGACAGTCTGGATAATTCCAGACAGTCTGCAGTAGAACATTCCCCACCATATTTCTCTGCCAAATCATAAAATCGAGGGATTCCATACTTCATACTGATTGATGAAAAGAACACGTGATCACAACAAAACAATCCAGGAATACAAAAGGGAATTGTTATCCAATCTCTCTCGCTCAGAAAAAGATTTTATTCTATGGCTAGTTTCCCAAAATTTTCAAGTATCCAACGTTGTTAGTTTCAAACATATTCAGATTAAAACCTGTAACTCTTCAAATTACCTCCATTTTTAGGCCTTTGAATGTCATTCTATGCAATGTTTAATTATAGATCAGTTAGGGTCCTGTTAAGTGAGAGAAAATGCTTGGAACACTTCCCATCATTCAAATTTCTTTCTAGACAAGTAGCCTGCTTACCAATATTTTCACTAGCCCAGTTCCATAAAGCCTACCCGCCTCTTACATAAGAATATTGTTGGGCTAGACTAGTGACGAAGAGGTCCACCACCTAAACTTTATTGATTTCCATAAAAAAATAAAAATATTCAGCACTCATGATCCCCTTGAAGGGTACAATCTCATACATCAAAAGAAATGAGTAACAAAATAAAATTAAGAGATATTTCTCTCCATTCTACCGCTTCTTCAAGTTGGGCTCCTCTTTTAGCCCATGTGTCTCCAACCATACTCGTCTCTCAAAAGACATGAACCAATTGCCATTCATTGAAATGTCCCAACATTTCTACCAAAATTCAGAGCACCAACTTCAGTCCCCAAGGTTGAGAATACTTGTCTAACACAATTGACCAATAATCCAGAGTTGCTCTCAATAACAAGCTTTCTGTTATTGATTTCAGAAGTTCAGGAACTATGCGCCACAATGCTTGAGAGTCAACCAATTACTCATATTTCCACAAGGGCTACTGAAGGCAGTCATGAAACCACCCATTGCATCTTGAATTACACCACTGTCTACCCGGTTTATTGATACTTAAACTCCTATATTTACTTTTACCTGCTCATGGGGAGGATAATTCCACAAATCCCCCCGACCATATGGACGAAGTTTATAGAATGGTATTACTAAAATTATTTACAGCAGTCCTGTATGGAAAATGAAACTTCCATTTAGAGACAGCAACCAATTCTTTTACAACGTTGATAAATATTCAATACAATCACTCCCATGGAGCTACAACACTTCACCAAATCCTTTAGTTCCCAGGCCTGTTTTGTTGATAATCAATTATGATCATTATTTGTTGGCCTTCATGTTTATCCATGTGACTCGTCTTGCTGTAATTTTCTAGTGATGGGAAAGCAAGAAAAAATATGAACAAGACACGACCTTACTTGTTTGAAGTCACACGCAACCCACTTACAGAAACACCACACAGAACATGGCTTAAAGTTGCCTAATCACCTGGATTCCAGCAGCAAAACAGAAGAAAAAGTCTCCTACATCACATTCATTAAGCTCTGGATTATATGCCAAGACATAGCTGATGAAGGCTACAGAATTTCTTCACCGAATCGAACCATAATTTTCTAACCAATTAAGGTTGGCAAGAGAGCACTCCATTAAAACCACCGCCTAATCTTGCTTATTATCAGGCTCACTTGCACAATAGACAGTAGACACAAACCCCAGCATCATATGGACTATAGTTATCAGAAACCTTCTTCGAGTATGTATCCAACAGAACTGCATTTTGAATAGAACTCACCTGCCAAGTTCCATACTTGGGAGTGGTACCATTCCTAAAGACAAATCACATTTTCAATCTTAAAAGGCTAAAATTATGGGATACATTTTTTCCCTTCAGGTTTACCATAAAAAATAAACAGCTACCCCTTTCTCTATGCGCTATGCTTCTCTACTAGGATTTCAGGATACATGTAAACCTTCTTCAAGTTCTTCTTCTTTTCTTTTCTTTTTTTCCCTTTTTTTGATAAAGGTTAGTTTTGCATTAGATATGTAAATAGAATACATAAACCTTCTTCATGTCACCATTCAATTTTCAAGAATGAACATGGTTCCCATGTTTATTCAAGCAAATGAATTAAATATTAAATATGGGCTAAAGCGCTCAATGTGGCCACTGGTCTGGCTGAGTTACTTAGGTATAGTCGACATGCCCAAGTTGGCTCCAAGCCGAAAAACCCCCCAAAAATTGGAAAACAAAATCCTTAAAATTGCTAAAAATAGGAAAGAATAAAGAAAATGATAAAACAATGGAAGAAATACATAAAAGATGAGAAAAATGTTTTCAGAAAGCAAAACAAAAGAATCATTTTCTCAGAAAAATAAAAAATAGAAAATAAGAAAAATATTAAAATCCACAAAATCATAAAAAGTTTATAAAAACTAATAGTCAGTCAAATTATAATTGATCTGACAAAGATCAAATCAATTGCAAATCCATTTTAAACATTTTTAATCAACTTTATATACCCCCGAGTTTGGGGGGACTTGGGCAACGCATCCTATCAAGCCTGAGTTATGCAGGCGAGTCGGAGATAGCTAGCCCGAGCAGTCAAACATTGGTTCCTGCTAATTCCTGCAATAACGGAGACGAGGTGTAATCGAGTTCAAGTCTAAGGTCTTCATTAAAGGGAATTAAGAGCCACCAACAAACATGCATATATGTGATCCCTTTTTATTGATAATACCAAACGTTGGAGACATGAAGCTAGTATAAATAAAACCGTAACATGAAGGCTTATATATGAGGATAACCTCTCTTTGACCAAAGAGTTCAAGTTTCCCAACTTTCAACAAGTTTTGAGGGCTAAACTTTACCACAAAAGAATTTCCTTAGATGCAATAAAATGTAACAACATTCTGATATGCAATAATCTTATAAATAAAGTTATTTAGAAAAAAAGCGGCATTCCTAGTTATTGCAAATTGATCAAAGATGATGCATGAATCGCTTACAAGAAACATTATATCAATGACATTTTCTAAATAGCATATTGTAATCAAAGATGAACAATGATCACTATCCCCTGCTGAAGTCATAGTTCATTTATTTTATTTTTTTGTGATAGTTAATTTTATATTTCAGTCAAAAATAAACTAACCAATCATCATTGGAACCCGGAGGTGTAGTATATAGTACACCGGCTTTCCGCCAACTCTCAATTAGCTTCTTATTGTTTGGACTATCTGCTGGACCACCCTTTACTCGCCGACCATGCAAAACAATAAGCGGCAGCTTCTTTGTTGGACTCATTTCACGCAACCTATTCACAATAGAATTCAGCTGCCATAGGAATGCCAATATCAGTCATGGGACCAAACATAATAGAAAAAAACCCATCCGCTATAATTACCATAAAAAGTGGAACTGTTTCCACCTAAGGCTGTCCTCATAGCAATATAAGAAAGCATATTTTTGCTGACCTGGAAGAAGCTGAAATTGTGTTGATCGTAAAGACCCACATTAGCACCATCTACAACGGCTTCAAATGGACCATTCTTTCCAAGCCAATCCTGAATAAGTTCCCCTAAAATTAGCTAATTACATGTTTCATTTTAATTGCTCCATAATTCTTAAACATTACAAAAGGACAATAGTTTCTAAGCATCTAATAATACGTGCCGAAGATAACCAGACAATGTATACATGGTTGGCATGAAATATGTAACCAAGGTCCCTGTTTTCAGGAGCTTACAGAAACAACAATATCCTTAATATGACTCCATGACTTTGTATAGGGACTGGAGATTAGCAATGCAATGCAAGTTAAAGTGTTTTCTGTGGCAGTTTTGTTCAAATAAAAAAATTTACCCTTATACAATACATATTATACTATTCGTCTTATTAAATCAATTAAAGAAAAAGAAGAAAAAAAAAAAAGAAGGAAAAGGAATCAACAATTGGTTTCTACATAAATCCAATCACAAACCCAAGTTATACATTCACAAAATAATTGTTACAACAAGGAAAAGAAAAAGAGGAAAGACAGAACAGATTCAAGTATGAAGCAAATGAAAGAGGCTACAAATAAAGCATATCCAAAAGCCCCAATCAAACAAATAAAGAAAAATTCAAGGAGCATACCTGAAAGCTAGCGAAGTTAGCCCTAACCTCCCTCTGCGAAGCAAGAACAGCAAGCGACTTCGCAAAATTCTCAGTCTCTACATTATTGATATCAATAGTAACAAGTTGTTCTCCACAAGAACCACAAACCCCTTTCTCACTCATATTCGTATCCTCCACCCTCCAACTCCCCTTCCCCAACCACCCTTGCCCATGCCACCCTCCCCCACCCTCTGCAATCCCTACCCTAACTTTCTCCTCGTCCCAAAGCTCATCACCTGCCTCCATTGCAGTTTCGCTCTCAAACCACTGGCGTAAAATCCCAGCCGTTGATTCCGAAACCTGCCTCACTAATACCCTGATCCTTTGCAGGAGCTCGTAAACCCTGTCCCCTCTTTTGGCCTTAGCACTCAGCTCCAAAAGTGCAGCGAGCTCTGGCTCCTCAGGTTGAACCCCTGATGAAATAATATGGGCATCGACCGCATAGGCCTTCTCAACCTCCATCTTTTTGTAGAAGGTGAAGAGAGCAGGGCCATAGGATCGAAGCCTTGGTGGGATTCCAGCCATGGCCATCTGCTTCACCAAATCGAAGGCCATGTCTCCATCTTCTTTAGCAGCAGCGAGACGAGCAGCTGAAGTAAAAGTTGCTTCATTTGGGATGATATTGTCTTTCATCATTCGCTGGTAAATCTGAAAACCTTTCTCTAGGGTTTCTGGGGTAGAGGAAGGGGAAGAGCAAACATAGAGGAGTACATTGTAGTGATGGAGAGAGAGGGATATACCCTTTTCTAGGGCATCATCATAGAGTCGAATGGCTTCAACTGCATCCCCATGCTTCGAGCACATGTCAAGGCCAAAGCGAAGGAGGCCTTCAGGGCTTTCGCGCTTCGCTTTCTTCTTCCTGGTTTGGGTTTCTTGGGGTTGTGGTGTTGGAGTTTGAGGGGTTGGGGCTTTCATGGCCCTTGTAGAGAGAGAAATGGAGGAGAAAGAGGGAAGAGGCTTGGGTGGAGGAAAGAGAAAGTGGGAGGAGGGAAGGAAGGATCTCAAAAGTGTTGTGGATGAGGAAAGGGGAAGGGATTTGAAGAGAAGAGCGACGAGAGAGGAGGGGAGAGAGGAAGCCAGCATTGCTGGCTCAAAGCCAGGCTGAGCAACTTACATACGGGGTGCGTTTCATAACTTTCTCTGCAGTTTCCCTGGGATTCTCCCTGCTATTGACTTCCTAAAATCTGGGAGAAAGCGAAAATTAGTAGCCTGAAAGCTAGGAACCATGTTTGATAACTATGGTGTTGCTATTTTTGCCTTTTCGGTACTGTTGTTATTGGGAAAGCACGAAACAGCATGTTTTAACCGTTTATTATGAATTTCCACGATTTAATGCGAGTAGGTAATTTTTTTAATAAGATTTTTTTGCTACTACCTATCTAATGCATTTCTTACAATGCATGGTTAAGATTGAAATTTAATCTCACATCTATGTAACTTAAGAAATAGCCTGAATAAAATTGCAACAAGTATAAGGAACTAGAGAGGTGGTGTTAATCACGCAGAATTCTTAAGCCAAGTGAAACCAAAAGTAAGTTCCCAATCACAATACTTCTACAATTTTTTATGTTATGAGAAATCAACGAGCAAGAGACATGAAAAAAGAATGTAGAGACTAAAAGAATTAAATTGCCTATAAATATTACAAAGAGAGAAAAATAACAGTTATATGAACCGAGAGGGTTAAAATCAGAAAAGTATCACTAATAGTTTACTATAAGAACAACATCAATATATTGTATAGCTAGATATACTAATCTCAAAACTCTAAATGCTTGGTATACAAGCCTAACACAGCATTGTGTGCACTGCATAATATGTACTAATAAAGTGCAAATTTCAAAACCAGAATGTGAGAAATCAACATGCCACAACATCTGAAGCAGAAACTAAACTTAAACAAACAGGTAAAATAGTTCAAACTTACAACTTCCAAACTAAATTATATGACAAACATCCCAATTCAATCTAGAATCATCTTGTCACATACAAAATGAAGGAAACACAGTTAAAAATTTTATTAACCCGGTGAGAGATAATGCCATTTCAACAACAACATAACAAAATTAAACCCCAGACTTTGGCATCAGTAACCGGAAAACCCAAGATTATATCACTCTGCAAAGGATATGCCTCCATAAATTTCAACCCAATGAATACAAAAACCAAATAACAGAAAATCCCTAAATTATATAAGCAAATGACAATAAAATAGAACCCAATTTTATAGAAATCAAATCCTACTGCATAATACAACCTCCAAAATAAGCTTTCATCAATAAATAAAAATAAAAAGAATAAAAGAATACATGGATTATTAACTCATAAAACCAAATGAAAACTAGTTCAATGACACACAACAAAAACAACGTCAACAACAATAGCAACAATGATCAATTAATCAAACACCCGAAGGCCAAAAAAATTTACATAATCGACACAAAATCAAATTAATCAAACTCTCGAGCCCCAAATAGTACTTCTCAATAAACCGAAAACCCACATCAAAACTTCAGACAAACTAGAAAAATAAAACATAAATAATAAATAAATAAACTCGGTGAATATGGGGTTTTCTTCTTTGTGCATAACCAGGAAAAAAAAAGAAAGAAACAAAAAATCAAATAAAAAAGCTCTCTGTAGATTTTTCTTTGAGAGAAAGGTTGATTGTATTAATAAAATAAATGAATTTACATTTATAGCTAATCCTAAAGACGGCAGTCCCACATATTGAGTGCTCAGACAACATTTGTTGAGATAGTAAGAATAGAGAAGAGCAAAGGGAGATATACAAGAAGAGGGGTTGGGCAGAGCCTTGCATGAGTGCAAAAGGTACAAAGCCCTAGCACTGAAGCTAAAGCAGAGAACCTTGAGGCGTATGACTTGAAGCTCGAATTGCGTGGGCAGTCCAAGTCAAAAGAACAGCGTCGGCAAACTTGAGAGAGTCGGGTAGGGGCTTCTGCTAGAGGATGGAAATTCTGCGGTCGAGGTGACTGCAACCCAACTGGCAACATACTGTGAAAAAAATCTTGTAGTTCTATGAAAAGAGAACTGGGGAGCCGAGCGGGAAGAGATTGAGGGCAGGAGGAGGGGTGAAGAGGTGATCAAAGTTGAGGTATTAGAGGGGAGAATAGCGAGAAAAAAGAGAAATCGAGGCCCCTGAGAAGTTGGCGTGGTTCAGAGAATCAGGAGAACCAAGAAACTCTTCTATTGTTTTCCTTTTTTTCTTTTTTCCCATTCCTTCCTCTTTTTCCGTCTTCTCGCGAAGTCCTCTAAACCAATCAATTCTCCCCAATAAAATGTTTTTTTTTCCTTCCCTCCTTTCCCAAATCCTATTTTCCTCTTTCCTGATTTTTCGTAACAGTTGACACCTCCCAAGTTTATCATTTATCCGTTCCCTCGAGTAGAGAAGAAACTCCATAAAAGGGGTGCGAGCACGGAGAGGTAAGGGTAGGAGAAGTGGAAAGATTAGAGATGGGGAGGGTGAGAAGAGAAGAGGTATGAAGGGAGAGGTTTTAAAGGGGAAAAGCAGTGGATTTAGAGGAAGAAAGAGAGTGAGCAGACGAGAGCTTAGAAAAATAACTAGGAGAGAGGGAGATGGGTTGGCGAGTAAGGAGGTAGGTGGTTTAAAGAGGGGTTAAGGATAGAAGGAGAAGGTGAGAAGTAGAGAGGTTAGGGTTGAAGTGATGCGTATCGGGTATTTAGTCGTTGAGCATTGAGACCAGTCCAGGGATTGAACGCTGGATGGCGTGAGGCATGAGGGCTAGATGGAGATCTTCCTCTCTCTGAGTATGCCTGAGGTCATATGCCAACGGTGGTGGGCTTATGCAAGTTGATATTAGGGCCAAGGGAATAGGAATGAAAGCAAAGCCAAGCTGAGAAGCCAGTATCGTTTCTGCAAAGGTAGAATCCTACTATGGCTAATGAACTATGAGTAGGTCAAGATGGTAGAAGGTCCTGCTAGAGTTCCTATGCCCGAGGGGCCTGGACTACCGAAGGAGGACCCATCTATGTTGAGTTTGAGGAAACCTTGGGGGGGTTTCCAGAGAGGTTTAGGTCTGTGCGTTTGGACTGCTAGGTGTAAAAGGCTATCCTAGTTTAAGGAAGTGAGAAATCTGCATGGTGGCAATGATGGGGATGGAGTTCGCCCAGTATGAGATCACTGCAGCAACAGAGTAAAAAACAAACTCCAAAAAAGAGCTGCGACAACAAGATGCTAGAGTTTTTTCCCTTGCTTTGAAAAAGATGGTGCAAAGTATATTTCAAAAAGTTGGGTTAGCTTAGTAACCCCTTGTAACCTGAAGAGCTTAAGGAGAGAAGACCAGAGATTCTCTGACACTTAACAATGAATAAAAAAGTGGGGAATTGTCTCCTCTTCTTGGAGGCAAAGATGCAGAGATTAGGGAATGAAAAACCCCTTTTTTGAGTTGGTTTAAGGTGAGGATTTTACCTTGTAAGAGTATCCAAATGAAAGCCTAGATTTTGTGAGGAATGGGTAAGAGACCAAGAGAGGTTGAGAAGGGGTTTAGGATTGGGATTGGGATTGGGAATGAGAGAGGAGTAAAATGACGATACTAAAAAGGAGCCTGAGGGAGCTGGGGACCATCTCATGGAGTCAGGTCGAGATAGGGTGCCAAACGATCTTCCTAAGGTTTGCAACAGAGAGATTAGGGCTATGGATTCTTGCTCGTTTAGATTACATCTGAAGATGGGAGTCCAGAATAGAGATGTGCTTGAGAAGGCCACATAATCCACAACTAGAGCCACTTGATTCCTAGCTATAAGGAATAGAAAGGGGAAGGCTACAGAAAGAGGAGAAGATCCTAACCAAATGTTTGTCCAGAAGTGATTTCTAAGGCCATCTCCTAATCTGTACCTAATTCTCTTGGTGAAATCTAACGTCCTGAAGATTTGTGTAGAGGAGATCTAAGGAGCCAATCATTCCCATTGAAGCCATATTTAGCTTGAATAACTTCTTTCCAAAGGAAGGGGTGGGGGGAAGAGAATTTCCACCACCATTTCCTGAGGAGAGCTTGGAGAATTATTTTGAGATTTTTTATTCCTAGGCCTCTGAATTTCTTAGGGTTACAAACTAGATCCCAGGCCACTAAGTGTATTCTCATGGTGTCCTCTACCCTTGACCAAAGGAAATCTCTCATGAGCTTTTCCAATTTTTTGATGACCAAAATGGGGATTTGGAATAGAGACATGAAATCTCTCATGAGCTTTTCTCATGAGCTAGGGTTGCTCGAATGAGGGTGATTCTTCCTCCAAATGATAGGTATCTGCCTTTCCAAGTGAATCTCTCTATAAGATTACCCCACATTTTTTTCTTAGGTTTGCTTATGCATAATGGGAGACCTAGGTATGAAGATGGTATGGTTTATGTGGCACAGCCTAGGCGAGAGGCCAGGGTATGAAGAATAGCGTCATCAACATGGATGCCCATCATTTTGGTCTTTGAAAGATTGACTTTCATACCAGTGAGGAATCCAAAGGTTCTCAAGAATCGCCAAAGACAATCGACTTGGTAGGGATTAGCATCACAAAAGATGCGAGTATCATATGCATAAAGAAGGTGGGAGATAGTTGGACCTAAAGGGAAGTCCAGAAGCCCGTGAGGGATTCAGAGTCATAGAGTCTAGAAATTGCCTGACTGAACAATTCCACTATAAAGGTGAAGAGGAAGGGTGAGAGGGGGTCTCCCTGCCGAAGGCCTCTATGCGCCCGAAAGAAACCTTCTGGGTATCCATTAATGAGAATGGAGATCAATGTTTTAAAATGCAGGATACAACCCTGATGCAGTGGGGGGCCGATGTGGCCCGGATGCAGGTGCATCGTGAAGATGCGGTCAATAAATGTAAAAAAATTCTAAAACATTTTAAAAATTTAGTTAATGCATAAAAAAAGGTGATATATGTGATAGTAGGTATTTTAGTTTAATGATTAACTTCAAAACTATTAGTTGTCAGAAATTATGTATCCAGTTATCCACCCATATAAGTATTTCCATAGAGCAAGCATATCACACAATTTCTATCTTTGGGATTTTTTAGTTTAGCATATTTTCAAGCCGGATCCTTATTACTAGAAGATTGGGAAGAAGACATTGCCAAAAAAATATGTATAATAGTAATATTGTACAAGAAGGAAAAAAAATTTAACGACTTTGTGAAGTACTGCT